GGCACTGCTGGGCACAGGTAGGTGGCACTTCTGGGCACAGGTGTGTGACACTGCAGAGTGGCACAGGTGGGTGCACTGCTGGGCACAGGTGGGTGATCTGCTGGGCACAGGTGGGCGGAGCTAGTGGGCGCACTGCTGGGCACAGGTGGGCGGAACTTGCGGGTGGCATTGCTGGGCACCGATCATCAGGGCACTGATCATCAGTGCCCTGATGATCGGTGCCGATCCCCGCTCTGACAACTGCCGGTTCTCGGCAGTACTTTCCTCACGATCTGACAGCGTGAGGAAAGTGCAGCCGAGAACCGGCACTTGCATTTCCCTGTGATCAGCGTGTCATTGGACACCGCTGATCACGTGGTAAAAGGCCGGTATGATTGGCCTTTTACCACATCACGTGATCAGCTGTGTCCGTAGGACACAGCGATCACGGAGATCGCCGGGTGCGCGCCCCAGGAGCGCGTTCTGGGAGGACGTCATATGACGTCCACTCAGAACTGGCCGGCCGCAGTTTAGCCGTCAGTCGGCTATCTGTGGTCGGCAACTAGTTAAACTGACAATTGCGCCATCATGCAATGCTGTACATAAATTACATTTATGCCCTTTTTTGCCACAAATAGAGCTTTCTTTCATTGGTATTTGATCACCTCTGCAATTTTTACTTTTTATGCTATAAACCAAAAAATACTGACAATTTAAAAAAAAACAAACTATATTTTTGACTTTTTGCTATAAAACATATCCAATAAAAAAAAGTAAAAAGCAAATTTCATCATAAATTTAGGCCAAAATGTATTCTGCTACATGTCTTTGCTTAAAAAAAATCCCAATACGTGTAAATTAATTGGTTTACGTAAAAGTTATAGCGTCTACAAATGGCGGTATATATACTGGAATTTTTTTTTATACTAGTAATGGTGGCAATCAGCAACCTATAGTGGGACTGCGGGACTGCGACTGGCATTGTGACACTGGGTGGAAACTGACTAACTGACACTGACATCCTCAGTGACACTAATACAGTGATCAGTGTTAATAAAAAGCACTGACAGTGTACTAATAACACTAGGCAGGAAGGGGTTAACTTTTGGGCGATCACAGGGTTAACTGTGTGTGCTGTGTGTGTGTGTGTGTTTTACTGTGTAAGCTGTTTTACTACAGAGATGTGCTGCTTTGTATTTCTCTGCTGTGCAGCATGTCCTTGCTGGCAGGAGAGAGACCTGTGTTGTTTACTCACAGGTCTCTCCCCTGTCAGTTCTCACAGTGAGAGCTGTGAAAATGTAGAATAGACTCCCTCAAGAGTTGGTTCTGGCCAGCTCAGTGGATTGCTTCAAAAAAGGCCTGGTTTGTTTCTTGGATACAGAGAATATAACTGGATACTAACATTTTAGGTAAAGTTGATCCAGGGAATATTCGATTGCCTCTCAGGGATCAGGAAGGAACTTTTTCCCCTGCTAGAGCAAATTGGATCATGCTTTACTGGGGTTTTTTTTTTGCCTTCCTCTGGATCAACTGTGGGTATAGGATTATAACCTTTTTTTTTTTTTATGGTTGAACTGGAGGGATTTTTGTCTTTCTGCAGCCAGACTAACTATGTAACTATGTAACAGCGATCACCGGGTGCCAGCGGGGAATCTCCAGCCGGGACCCAGTGATTGACTTCCCTAGCCACCAATGGTAATGTGGGTAGGGGGTGTGCATGTGCTCCCTACCTGGAAATGCACATCACGTGTATAAATATATATATATATATATATATATATATTTTATATATGTGTGTGATTTTGCACAGCCCTGCCACCCTGTAGCAGTACTTTTACTATAGGGCGGTGGGCAAGCAGCTAAACTGCATGTGGCACCCTGCATCTTTGGACCAAAACAGTTTACTAAATTGCTCATTCATTTGCCAAGTTGCTTACAAGGAAGACTGGAAGCAAAGTTGATAATTTTTTAAATAATTTTCATTCTGCTGAAAACTGCAATATTATCCAAAACTCATATGATCATTTGAGTGCCTCTGGCATTTGCAAAACTGCTAAAAGAGTAGAGTGACAGGGTGAATTACGTCTCCACTAAGCCCATATGTTGCAGCATGTTTATCCTCTGTTTTTTTGAGGTAAGAATAAGTTCAAAAAGATTGGGAATGGGAAGGTAACAGGGTCTAGGCAATCTGAGTGCTGGACAGTGCAAAGAATACAAAATAGGAGCTTGGCAATAATATAGTACCCTGACACTCTGAGGACAGGACTGAGGAGAAAAGTAACATAAAACAGGAACAGAATTACAAGATCACACACAAAAGCACACAACTATATAATTAAGCTATCTAGGTATTGTCCCTGCACCTTGCAATGAATTGCTAAGTGTCCCACGTGTTGTAAATCTTGTCTGTTTGAAATAAGCCCCAAACGCTTTTCACAGTAAGACAGTGGTCATAAATTCCCCAACACGATTTAAAGGAATAAGGACCAATCAGGGCCCAGGAAAGAAAAGAGGAGCAAATTCAATCACATCATGTAGTCAGCAGGACTAAGGAAGGACAGAAAGAACAAGAGGAAACAGAAACCTTAACACAGGGATCTGAGCTCACCACCAGCTGAGCACCTGAAGGCTGACCACATTACAAATGAAGGAAAAGGCCACTGTTGGCCAACCAGCAAGGCAAAACTACAACTGGGTTTCTGACATAGGGTCTTCAGTGCAATGGGAGAGAAAGTCTATGGGAAAAAAAAGCATTTTTGGCCATCCTTCTCCTGACTTGCCCACATGGAAGATATAAAAAATATTCTTCCCAAATTTATTTTTATTACAAAATATATGAAAAAATATTTTTAAAATACATTTCAAATATACTGTATGCCTTTAAAAAGAAAACTCTACATTTTTGGAATGCATTTACAAATATATGTAAAAATATATGTTAAAATTACTTTTTTATATGTTAAAAAAAATCTGAAGAATATATTTTAAAAAAGTATCTTTTTAAAAAAATATATATATTTTTAAATATATTCTTCAGATTCTTAACATATAAAAAAGTAATTTTAACATATATTTTTACATATATTTGTAAATGCATTCCAAAAATGTAGATTTGTATTTTTAAAGACATACAGTATATTTGAAATGTATTTTTAAAAATATTTTTCATATATTTTGTAATAAAAATGCCTTTCAACATGCAGTATATATATATATATATATATATATATATACTGTGTGTGTGTGTGTATATATATATATATATATATATATATATATATTGAAATATATCAAATATAGCCAAATTTGTAACATTTCAAATATATGGCAGTATATTTGGGAAGAATATTTTTCAATTATATATTTCTTCCATATGGGTGGTCACAGGAGCACACCTAATTTTGCTCTCGTGTGACACAGAATCAGCTGATAGTGGGCTATTGCCCTTTTCCAGCTGATGTGGCAGACCATTCCAGGCTGTCAGGGCTCCCGGGGTATGACCAGAGGTATGTGAACTGACGCAGGGAAACGCAGGCTTCAGATAAGTTATAAACAATATAATTTATTAAAGACTAACAATACAAACATAAACGCAGTGCAATACTAAAACATAACACAGTGCAAACGAACCAAACCAAACCACCCACAGATAACAGTACATACAATGCAAGCGTCGTCAGGCAGGCCGGGTCAATAACAAGCGGGCAGGTAGGTACAGGGGGTCAGTCAGAGAATGGTCGGGGTCACAAGCCAGGGATAAAACAGGAGAAGTCAGCAGAGGTCCGGATCAGGCAGGGTCAGCAACGAATCAGACAGGGACAGGAACAGGAATGCAGGAACAGGATACAGGGCCCAGGAAAAACACACACCAAGGCAGAGACTGCAGGTCTGGCCATCCCTTAAATACACCTGCATGATCAGCTTCAGGTGTTCGGCTGGCTGCAGGGTTGAGTCTCTGATTGCTGGGAGCACCCGCTGGCCAGCCCTGGTACTACAGCCCACAAGGCAGGTGAGTCCCACCATTACTGGCAAGTCCATTCCTGACAGTACCCCCCCCCCTCAAGGAGCGGCCTCAGGACGCTCCAAACAGTCCTAGCTGGGCAAAATGTTCCACCGCCCGGGTCTGGTAACTGGCGGGATATCAAAGACTGGCACATCGGGCAGGACTCCGGGCAGCGGCACACCGGGCAGGACTCCGGGGCAGCGGGACTCCGGGCAGAGGCACATCGGGCAGGACTCCGGGCAGCGGCACATCGGGCAGGACTCCGGGCAGAGGCACATCGGGCAGAGGCACATCGAGCTGGACTCCGGGCAGCGGCACACCGGGCAGGACCCCGGGCAGCGGCACACCGGGCAGGACCCCGGGCAGCGGCACATCGGGCAGGACTCCGGGCAGCGGCACATCGGGCAGAGGCACATCGAGCTGGACAATGGGCAGAGGCACATCGGGCTAGACTCCGGGCAGAGGCACATCGGGCAGGACTCCGGGCAGTGGCACATCGAGCAGGACTCCGGGCAGAGGCACATCGGGCAGGACTCTAGGCAGAGGCACATCGGGCAGGACTCCGGGCAGCGGCAAATCGGGCAGGACTCCGGGCAGCGGCACATCGGGCAGGACTCCGGGCAGCGGCACATCGGGCAGGACTCCGGGCAGAGGCACTTCGAGCTGGACTCCGGGCAGAGGCACATCGAGCTGGACACCGGATCACCAGGCGGAGCAGCAGGCACCAGGCCACCAGGCGGAGCAGCAGCAGGCACCGGGCCACCAGGCGGAGCAGCAGGCACCGGGCCCCAGGCGGAGCGGTGGGCGCCGGGCCCCCAGGCGGGGCGACAAGCGCCGGGCCCCCAGGCGGAGCCGCAGGCGCCGGGACCCCAGGAGGGGCGGCGGGCGGCGGGACCCAGGAGGAGCGGCGGGCGCCAGGCCCCAGGCGGAGCGGCGGGTGCCGGCCCCCAGGCGGAGCACCGGGCTCCGGGCCCCCAGGCGGAGCAGCGGGCGCCGGGCCCCCAGGCGGCGCACGATGGGTGCCGGGCCCCCAGGCGGAGCGGCGGGCACCGGGTCATCAGACACGACAACGGGCATCGGGTCACCAGGCATCAGGTCATTTGGCTCGCCAGCGGGCACCACATCATCTGGCAAGGCAGTGGGCACCGAGTCACCAGGCACGATAGTGGGTTCCGAGTCAACTGGCATGACGGGCACTAGGTCAGACATTGGATCGTCTGGCTCAACAGCGGGCATCGGGTCACCAGGCATCAGGTCATTTGGCTCGACAGCGGGCATCGGGTCACCAGGCATGACAGCGGGCACTGGGTCATCAGGCATGGGATTGTCTGGCTCGACAGCGGGCATCGGGTCACCAGGTATGACAGCGGGCACTGGGTCACCAGGCATCAGGTCATTTGGCTCACCAGCGGGCACCGCGTCATCTGGCAAGGCAGTGGGCACCAAGTCACCAGGCACGACAGTGGGCTCCGAGTCAACTGGCATGACCGCGGACACTGGGTCAGACATTGGATCGTCTGGCCCGACAGCGGGCATCGGGTCACCAGGCATGACAGCGGGCACTGGGTCATCAGGCATTGGATCGTCTGGCTCGACAGCGGGCATCGGGTCACCAGGCATGACAGCGGGTACTGGTCATCAGGTACCAGATCGTTGGATCGACAGCGGGCATCGAGTCAACTGGCCTAATGGAATCATCAGGCTGGATCAGTTCATCAGGCTGGGTAGAAACATCATGCTGGGTAGAGGCATCAGGCTGAATGGAGGCATCAGGCTGAATGGAGGCATCAGGCTGGGTAGAGGCATCAGGCTGGGTAGAGGCATCAGGCTGGGTAGAGACATCAGGCTGGGTAGAGGCATCAGGCTGGTGGAGGCATCAGGCTAGGTGGAGGCATCAGGCTGGTGGAGGCATCAGGCTGGGTGGAGGCATCAGGCTGGGTAGAGGCATCAGGCTGAATTGTGGGCGCCGAGGCACCAGGCTGCACCACGGAAGGCAGGTTCTCAGATGGGAGGCTGACCGGTTTGGATACTGGCAGGATGGTATTGGTTGGAAAGAACTTTTCCTGGTTTTAGTTACCGGAGCACCGTAAGTAAGTGCAGGTTTGTAAACAAATGGAGCAGCTGGAGACAGAGAAGAGAGCTGGAGGATGGAACAGGGGAGGGAACAGTTGCTACAGAGGGCTTCTTTACAGGTTAAAGGCAGGATAGGTGCAGCGAGTGGGAACAGGGTACCGACATGCGGTAGATAGCAGGGTATACTGGGCTGTAACTGGAGGTGCTGTTGGGAATGCAGGAATAGAGCTTTGAAGAAATAGATTAGAAGTAGCACTGGTTTTTGCAAGCTGACTGAGGCTGGGTGCAACAAGTCTGACCATGTCTGCAGTATGGGTTGAACAAAGCTCAGCTTACACAAAGCCTGTCTGACCAAAGACTGCACTGCGTTTATACAATCTCTTAGTACCTGTTGTGAACATGCAGAATAATGCTCCAGAAAGTAATCCACATCATCCTCTAATAACCATACCAGGGACTCTACCTGGTCGGCACTAAATGGGGGCAAAAATTCATCCCTGCATTCGGGGGTACCAGATGAAACCAACTCAGCACAAACCTGAATCAATGTCTACACCTCAGAGAACTCTGTGCCCTGATCTACTAGGCAATGAGCGATCCGTATACATTCTAGCAGTTCATCCCTGGGATACTCCTTCAGAGTTTGATAAGCATACTCTCTGTCATCAAACACTAGCAGAGATAAATACACAACCTCATCAAGATCCATCCTTCCCAGCAACAAGCCAAGATGGCTTCCCTGTGCAGCCACTTCTGGTCAGGATTGGCCTTGGTGTAATGTCAGGGCTCCCGGGGTATAACCAGAGGTATGTGAACTGACGCAGGGAAACGCAGGCTTCAGATAAGTTATAAACAATATAATTTATTAAAGACTAACAATACAAACATAAACGCAGTGCAATACTAAAACATAACACAGTGCAAACGAACCAAACCAAACCACCCACAGATAACAGTACATACAATGCAAGCGTCATCAGGCAGGCCGGGTCAATAACAATCGGGCAGGTAGGTACAGGGGGTCAGGCAGAGAATGGTCGGGGTCACAAGCCAGGGATAAAACAGGAGAAGTCAGCGGAGGTCCGGATCAGGCAGGGTCAGCAACGAATCAGACAGGGACAGGAAAAGGAACAGGAACAGGAATGCAGGAACAGGAAAAACACACACCAAGGCAGAGACTGCAGGTCTGGCCATCCCTTAAATACACCTGCATGATCAGCTTCAGGTTTTGGCTGGCTGCAGGGTTGAGTCTCTGATTGCTGGGAGCACCCGCTGGCCAGCCCTGGTACTGCAGCCCACAAGGCAGGTGAGTCCCACCATTACTGGCAAGTCCATTCCTGACACAGGCTCTAGATGCAGGCTCTGGAAGGGTCCTGACAATATAGACAGGATACACCCAGCTGCCTGATTGACAGTTGGCTCCACCTTTCAGCATGAAGCTGAAAGCCGGAGACAACTGTACCTGCCCTCTTCCCAGCCCAGTATCAACTCAACTCTGGAGGAACAGAGCAGATATCAGTGACTGACATCACATGATCACCAGTGAAGTGATCACTTGGTTCTCAGGCCCAGAGCCAACCTGGGACAGCTGCAGCTTCACTCTGATGTTGCAGCATGGAGGTGACTATGTGTATGTGTGGTTTTTTTTTTTTGTTAACCCCAAATCCCAGGAAGAAGAAATTGAAAAAACAAAGAAGCAGTTAGCAAACATTTACAGATGATAAAAAAAAGACTGATCTACATTTTATTTCCTAGTGTATCACATATTATCTAAGACTGTTATCATGTTCAATGTTTGTATATTCAACCATTATGGTATCCTACTATTGGAGAGTAAAAACCAAAACAAAAGAGTAAGCTTCATGCTTTTGGTTCCCTGCATGCAGGTCCATGCCACCTTGTGTTTCATTGTCTGTTTGATTACTGTATATAACCCTTGTTTGTATTTGTATTGCCCCAAAATGTTAATCACTGAGGAATACCTTGGCACCATTGAATGGAAAAAAAATAATATTAATAAGAAGCAAGTGAAGAAATGTGTAATATTATCAACCCATAATGTAATGTCAACAAATAATGTAGTTTAAAACAATATATTGATTTTATATATGAAAAATGTTGACAATTTTAAAAAAGCACCAGTCATTTGTGCTTGATTAATAGTTTGCTCTTTTAATTGTTAATATTTTGGCTATTAATATTATTTAAGCTTTAAAAAAAAGGAACCTTATAACTTTAATCTGTTTTATATTTTAATCATGTATGTATATTGATTACATGATAAAAAAAAGATCTAACTTCATATATATTTCTAATGTTCCAATGTTAATTGCATATGTGATAAAAGTATGGTAAAGTGTACATGTAACATCTACAGGTATTGCTTACCCCTCTAAGAGACCAGAGCGCACCATCCAAAAAGGTGCCTTTAACTGCTTTTCTCTTCAGAAGGAACAGAATTACATTTGTTTAGGAATTATTTGGGGTCAGCATCCATCTAATTTCTGACACAATCATGCAAATCCTGCTGCCTGTGCATTGGCTGTGTTCACAAATGTCTTTTAGGCTACTTTCACACTGATCCGCTGCAAAAACACAGGAAAAACGCATAGGCATTTTTACTGCTTTTTCTGAGTATTTTTAAAGGACACATCATTTAAAAACTGCACAAAAAACGCTTCCCAGAGGTGGTTTTTAGGTGCTTTTCAGGTGCATTGTAGACCTTTTTTCACGCATTTTTCATTGATTTCAGTGGGTTGGGGGCTTTTTTTTAGCTCCCCAAACATGCCCCAAAGATGCTTCAAGCAGGAGTTTTTACACCGCACCGCAAGTGCAATGCCTCAGTGTGAAACTTAACTTAACTGAAATTCCAGTGATACAATACCCCCAGACCGCTATAATACTACTTCCACCCTGGAAGCTTTAGATCTTAATAGTAGTCATTACCAGTCACTGTGAAATATAAGTACACTGTGAAATATAAGTACAAAAAATATATAAATGTCTAACTCTAAGTCCCCAAGAAAAATATTATTTTCAAAATGTCTCATACACCCTGATGGCATCTGCTTTTAATCCACCAGTTCTTAATGTTCCACCAATTTTCAATGTTCCTCAAACCAATGTGTCCTCTTCCTCTCTTAGTACCTCAAAATAAATAAACTATACATAGTGCATTATCCTTATAACGCAAATCCTGGTGGTACGTAAGCCTCAAAGTGTTCAAAAACAAGAGCACCCAGTGATCATATACACATTCAGTGCCTGTAATTCCTACTCTTACCCAGAGTAGGTAGAAACTTGCTTATGTGATCAGCGATCCTACATACATTGTGAATCAGTGCCACACAAAACATCAATTAGTGATCATACGGTGCATTATCAAATAGTGTAACACCTGTCAACCCAAATACCTTACCAGATTTACAGGTAGTGCAGGCTTAACCAGTGACTTATGCTCCATGATCCTATTAACAATAAGTGGTCCACAATCCTTCATACACTGTGAATCAGTGACACGCCAAACATCAATTAGTGATCATACGGTGCAATCTCTAAATAGTGTGACTGCTGTCAACCCATGTACCTTACCAGATTGACAGGTAGTGCAGGCTTAACTCAGGCAGGTTTCATGCTCCAGAATATTTGTTATCAATCCACTGAAAAAGTCATGAAGATGAAATGCATCATAAAGTGATGTCAGACGTTGCCGGAAGTGTCGCGGTGGCCATTTTGGATGAGGTCCGGACTGACTATAGGAAACAGTGAGCTCAAAGGATATTTTTACTGCTGCATTTATTTAATTTACTCTGCAAGTTGTGTAAGCACTTTTAATAAAGTTTTAGCAAAGTGTTAAGGTTTTACACAATGACTCTTCACTTTCATTCTGGGTACATAACATCGCTGATTTCGTACAAAAAATAATGGAAACCTCTTGCGCTCAGGGGTGGACTGACCATTTGGAAACTCGGGCACTGCCCGAGGGCCCGGGGTCAGTAGGGGGCCCATGAGATGCCCCTGGTACCTTTTTCATAAGCTTTTTTGAGTTTGGGCAAGGACACAGGGGCCCCATGATCCCCTATTGCCCGGTGGCCCCATGAGTTGTCAGTTGGCCCCTGCTTGCGCTACTATGTAAACAATAGCATGAAACAAGGGGGCTGCTAGCACCCAACCCAACCATATACCAAATGGATAAGGAAGACAATAATAGATGTATTGATGCAGCGCTACCCTTGATAAACCTATATAAGACTACGTAAACATAATATTAAAGAACACTTGTAAAGTGACAAATCATAACAAATATATCTGGTGAATAAAATTAGATCGTAACGTGAAATGATCCTTAAGAGGATCTAAAGGTGAAAAACGCATGACCGCAACAATGAAAATCAGTGAAACTGAAAAAAGTCCAATTGAGACTAACAATATGTGAAGAAAAAATTATATACAGTGAATCCCTATAAATGGGATCAAGATTCTCCCAAGAAAATGGTGATCAACAGGCTATAATTCAGCCAAAATATATGTTGAAAAAAGTGACATCTGTGAATCCGAGAATGCGGGACAAATTTTCACAAAGTGACAAGTGCTGTGATAAATCAACAATATTGTATGTGAACAAAAAAAGAATTAAATGCAAATACGCATAATTGATGTGAAATCAAAAAACTATGAAAATAACCATAAGTCCAAAGAGAGAAAAAAAAATGTTCAAAGGTGTGTAAACAC